CCCTTTAAACGTAAAAAGGAATATATTAACATAAGTTCGAGGGATAGGACAAGTACCAACTTAATTAGTCCAGTTGTAAAACATACCATTTGTCTGCAGTGATCCTGCCAGCACTTGTCAATTTTCTTTAGGAAAAGCACACTGTCCAGGGCATCCGTATGAACAAGGTTAAGGAAAAAGTGCACTTTCATTCAAGAGCTTAAATGCAATATGACTGCATTATTAACACTAGGCTATGTACAATTAACAAGTGGAAAGATCCAGTGACAGAAATTGAAGATGAACTGAGAGCGTAAAAGGATATTCTCTGAACTGATCAATTTGTGCCTTGATGTGGTCTTCACACACGGCCCTCAGCTGTTTGTAAAGCTTGGCAGATATCTTATGGGAGCACAGGTTCTCAACAGCCTGCGGGGACAAAAAAAAAACAAGGTGTCACAAAAATAATTTGGAGAGAAGGCTGTTTCTATTTCCGTAAGGGGCATGAATACAGTGAGCCTTCCTCTGAGAGGCCAGCAGGTCTGTAGTGATACCTGGTAGAGCTCCTCTAGATTGTACTTGATTGAAGTGCTGTTCTGTATGGCCTCGACGGCTTCCTTTAGTTTCTGCCACGTCTCCTGTGTGTAGTTCTCAGGCAATTTGGGTTTTTCTGTGTGATCAAAACAAAAACACAAACTGTTCTGATAACACCGTAACATTTAGCAGGCCCAGAATGGCAAACAGCAGACCTCAAGGGGCTAGGCACTGTCACCAGAGCTACTTTTACAACTGTATTTGTTTCTATTTAAAAGTACAGCCAAGCGATAGTGATGAGGAAAAAAATCTAATATCTGGTTCCTGAACTGTGTTATTAGTCAGGAGATTTTGGTTACTGTAATACGAAGATATCATCAGAGCTCGGTAATATGTTCATTACTGACAATTGAGGTAACCAACTCATGGTATTCATATCTCTTCTCTCTTGTAACTGCGGTGCACAATGAAATAACTACTCAACATGATATTCTATATGTTCACACTAACGCTTGGCAGGTATTATACATCTTTTAAATACTAGAGAGAGAATAAGAGATCTAATTTTTTTTTACTCCTTTATTTCTTGATTAAATCTATTTGCTTCTTGATTTCTTGTTTGTTTGATTTTTAAACTGTTGTGTGTTGGTTGTCTTGACTATGAATGTTTCTTGTTTTCAGGTCTCTCTTGAAAAAAAAAACGAGATCTTGACTTAAAATTTATCTGATCCACACACACAACAAAAAATGTAAATACGGATGAAATCTTTACAACAATATGAATCTGGATATTATTCAAGGATAGGCTAAAATAATCAAACTCTTCAAAGCGATGGCCTGAGTTCTGCTGTTGCGCAATACACCAGGGCCAATTATTTGTATGTGTCAAACAATTTTAATAACTAGTTTTAAAAATTTTAATAAAAAATGTTATCAAATTTCAGAAAAAAATCTAATGAAAGTATCACCAAGGCTTAGTCTTTTTCTATTCTTGTCAGCAATTCCTAATAAGACTTTTAACTTGTTTGACTAAACAAATATCTTTCTTTTCATATATACATTAATTTCTTCTGACTGAACTGAACATATTGACACAGCAGTGAAACCAAGATGACATGTATCATTCTGGGAAATTTGACATGGTTTATCACGTCTGACACATTTCTTAATTGTTAACACACATAGGTTCATATGATTTTAGCTGTAATGCAGCCTTTAGGAGCAAGACAATACTAAAACCCAGACGAGATCTAGTCTCATATCACAATTTTACAATTCTGGACAACCACAGCGCCTTGGGGACTGGTAAGCACTTGAGTTTAAGTTGTATACTACTGTCAGTGAATGATTTTGAGAGCTTGGATCACGTTGTCCACGAGTGTTATCTGCTACCTTTGAAGTTCTTGATGACTAGTTTCTTGGCTGCCCCGGGTTTACTGTTGGAGAAGGTGCCGGAGCCTGCGGTTTTCGTCAGTCCGTTTGCATGGTGTCCCACGCCACCGGACAGGAACACGGCTTTGCTTTTGTTATTGGAGCAAGAAGCAGCAACAGCGGCGGCGGCAGCAGCAGCCTCCTCAGCCATTTTCACATCCAGTCCAATGAAATCCACTGAATCCTCAAACCTCAACTTCTTCTGAATGTGCAGCGGAGTGGGAGAGCAGGAGGAGGAGGAAGAAGAAGAGGAGGAGGAGGAATTCAGGGTCTTGGGAGGCGAAGAAGAGATCGTGCCAGTAGTGTCTTCCCTCTCCGAGCCGTTTATTTTCCTCTTCTTCGTAGATGTGATGTTGCCGCTCTCGTTTTTGACATCAGTAACGTTAGCTGCTGGTCTAGCCTCCTGAGTTGGCGGTGGTGGGGGATTAGGGGAAGATAAACCTGTTGGAAACATGAAAAAACGGGAATACTAATACTTAATAGCCAGTCTTCTGATCCGAAACTTCCAGGCTTCCAGGGGGATGAGCTCAGTGTCCGGTAGCTTTTATCTATCTTAACACGGAGAGGTGTTACACCAAAAAACAAATCCTTTATCCAGTATAAAACAGAAAATAATTTGCAAACTACACAGCTCCACTTGAATCTATCCGTGTCTCTTGTGTCTTGTTATTGCTGGCAGAAGAAGAAAGATGGTTGGCTATTGCTTCCTCTTTTTGCCTCGCTTGGTCTGACCGCGTTGTTGTAGCGTTACAGCCGTTCAGCGAGAGAAGTGAGGCGGCCGTTAAAGAAGATTATTTACAAGAGAAATTAAGCTACGGCAAAAATAAGGCTCACATGATAGGAAAACATCCGCTGGTAAACACGGGGAAAATTTCGCTCATAAATGCTAGTCGGTGACCCCACCGGAAGTACTTTGTCCAAAAGTACTTTTTGCACAAGCGTGTTTTTTTTATAGCGACTAGCAGCGCTGTAACTGTTCTGGACACAAGATGGCGCCACACCAACGCCAAGAACTCTGAAGTTCAAGAGTCAGAAATATTTTATTGATCCCCGAGGGGAAACTCTTTGTAACAGTTGCTCACTTTGCGTATCAAGATATTAAAGAATAGGAATAATAATATAAAGTTATAGGTAACTAGGAAATATAGTGAAATATACAAATATAAAAATATAAAGTGTGATGTACAGTATTTTACAGAATTACCAGAAATGGTCAAATTGAATGGATACAAATTTACATATAAATATAAAGAGTTTAGTGACATGATAAATACTATTAAATACTAATATTAATAATGAGTAGTGGTAGAGTTGATGTGGAATGGATATCCTTAAATACTACAATATTAGGACAGAGTAAGCAAGATATTGAAGCACATAAAATTGCACATTGAGTATTTATTACAGAGAAACATTTGTCAGATATTGTTACTGATTAAGAGTTTGACACTCTGAGAGTTAAAGAGTTTGATGGCCACAGGACAGAATGACTTCCTGTGGTGCTCTGTGGTGCATCTAGGAGGGATGGGTCTATCACTGAAAGTGCTCTTGTGTTTGAACAGTACATCATGGAGTGGATGGGACACATTGTCCAAGATGACATGTAGCTTAGACAGCATCCTCCTCTCTGAAACCACCTACAGAGAGTCCAGCTTCACACGCACAATGTTACTGGCCTTCCAGATCAGTGTGTTGAGTCTGTTAGCGTTCTCTACCCTCAACCTGCTTCCCCAGCATGCAACAGCAAACAGGATAGCACTGACCACAACAGACTCATAAAACATCCTCAGCATTGTCCAGCAGAGGTTAAAGAGACAGCTCTGGCCCTTCCTAAAGAGGGCTTGAATATTTTTGTCCAGTTTATTGTCCATGTGCACTCCGAGGTACGTCATAGTGTATACAGATAGTTACAAACAAATTGTCTTGCTTTCAAGTTCATTGACCTCCATGATTCTGCACTTTAGAGGGGCACCTTCTTGTTGAATTGAGGTAAAGACAGTAGCTCAGGCGTCAGGCTAGCAGATATCGGTGTCTCTGGGAATCTTACAAGGTTGAGTCTTACAAGAATGTTTACAAGAACTTACTGGCTCCACAGATTATACTACAGAGTATAACTCATGGCTAGTAATAGATTCCAATATGATGTAGCATTGGACTTTAAACATCAGATAGATTTGTTGTTTTTGGTTAAGGCCAGCTAAAGATGACCTAACAGGAAAAACCTACAGGCACTGGGGGGAAGACAGAAAAATAAAAGGGAAATGTTATCCTTCAGATTTAGTGTTGGCATTTCTTCTTATAACTTCTTCATCACAACTGAACTGGTTCACAATAATTCTTCAATCTATATTTATATCTTTAAAAAAAAGAAATCCCCCTCTCACATGTTTTGGGGTGGTATGTGTCATCCTCAAGCTGGGGTCCTCCACCAGCGTCCTGGGAGTTTGAGGGTTCTGCGCAGTATCTTAGCTGTTCAAAGGACTGCACTCTTCTGGACAGAGTTTTCAGATGTTGTACCTGGAATCCAGTTTGGGGGTCACAGCCCCCAGTACTCCTACTACTGACATTACTGTTGCTTTTACTCTCCACATCTATATAAATTCAGTTTAGTTCAGTTCGATGTGCTTTATTGGCATGCATGTTTAACTTAAACAATGTTGCCAAAGCAGTTTGCAGCAAAATCACAAGTTTACATTTGAATATAACACAAAGAATGAATGACTGCAATCATGATAATTCAGTTTAGCAATTAAGTTACAACAACAAAAGTAACAAATTCAGATAGAATGTAAACTACAAACAAGAATGAACAAAATTTAACATGCAATGCACAGTTTGCTGAGTCACTCGCTGTCCCTCAAGTCGTGACATAAGGACGCATACTATATATATAATATATACTATATTTATTATATATTTGTTAACACAAAATGATAGATATAAAAAGGTTATTTGAAGCTCGAAGCGGACATCAAAGCCACAGGAGAGGACGGAAGCTCTTATCAAAACCAAATTCGACTATCTGCAGTGTAACGTAAACAACTGTCGTAAAATGACGCAACGCCTATACCACTGGCCCTCCCCTGCGAAACAGACGTGCAGTACTTGATAGATTACTTATATTTTGTTATTTACTGGGTTTACTATATCCGATCTAGCACAGTAAGTACACGCTTTGTCACAACTGAGGAACGCTGTCACAGTGACCATCGAGGATGTTCAAAAAGTACGTTGCTGACTATTTCCATGTTGTCACGGTAGCTAACTACAGCTAGGTGGCTAACGCTAACTGATTAGCAATCGTGTGTTCCGAGTTTGTTGTAGGCTCATTGAATGAGACAAGCAGACACGAGTTATGATATCTTGTGAGATCCTCTGTTACTATAGCTTAAATCAGGCCTGTGGCCGTATATGTATGTATCAGTGCTGTGTGTGAAGATAATTCATTCACGTTTCCAAACAAGACGCTTATGCCTTAAATCCAAAAATCTAATCTCAGTATCTTTAGACAATTGGGAACATCCAGGCACATCTCACACTAGCTTAGCATGTTTTCACTTCACTGAAAATTAGAAACATGTATTTGAATTTATTATCCCAATATCAATAGGCACCTTGTTTTGTCTACAAAGGTTTATCTTCCTTTTCAGGGTGTAACGTTATTGAAATTTCTTTGATTATATTTACGCAAAAATTCATAGGATTGCCCGAAAGACATGTAAAAGGTGCATAATTATATATACTTATGTATCTATGTTTTTGATGGAAATAAATGCATGCTGTCACCTCTGAGACTGAAATTTGATTCTCTTTTCAATATATTTGCAAATTGTGGGTATTTATTGATATTGTTTTTTTTTTTTTAAAAACATTCTGGATAAACCAACTATGTTTACTGCCAATATTTAACACATTGTGAAAAAAACTGTGCTCCATTGTGGAATAAGTACTGTGAGTTTAATATATTTAAGGCCATAGTGTATCCATTCATTCACCTGTCAATTTAAGTGAGTGAGTGTAAGTGTTGCGTACTTGTATAGCGCCTTTCTAGTCTTTTCGACCACTCAAAGCGCTTTTGATGAAATTTAAAAGTACTAAAATAGAATTAGGACTAAACAATTATTCAAAATTTCATCAATATTGCAATTTGGAGGCGCAATTTTTGTTAAAAAGTGATGTGTCAAAATATAATTTTTAAATTAAATATTGCGGAGATGTCGTTGCCTACACATCATATTCTAGAGACTTAAGAAAACATCTTTGTTTGGTAAACAATTCATTTTAATATGTTAATGTTTAATGAAAGTGAGAAAGATGTAAAACTGATCATTACCCCCAGTATCGCTAATCATATCGCAATTGCAATATTGATCAAAATATTCGCAATTAGATATGTTTCCCAAATCGTTCAGCCCTGAATAGAATTACTTTGTTGTAAAAATAAATAAATAAAAGATCTAAGTTACCATACAAAAAGCATGTTCTGTTTTCTGTTTCAGATTTGATGAGAAGGAAAATGTGTCGAACTGTATACAGCTGAAAACATCTGTGATTAAAGGGATAAAAAATCAGCTGTTGGAACAGTTTCCCGACATCGAGTCATGGCTCAATCACATAATGCCAAAAAAGGACCCTGTCAAAATAGTGAGATGGTACGACTTATCATTTCATGTTTCTCAGCAAGGTTCTCTCATGCAATCTGTTTTCAGTATAGTTGCTTTTCTTCTTCAGTTTTTATATGTATATTGTTCCTCCCACAGCCATGAACACATTGAAATCCTGACAGTGAATGGAGAACTGCTCTTCTTCAGACAGAGAGAAGGACCGTTCTATCCAACCCTCAGACTGTTGCATAAATGTAAGATCTCCCATTGCCAACTGCTTGATGATGCGTTTAGATTTCCTCACACTGATAAGAAATTCCCTTTTCTTTTAAATAGATCCTTTCATTCTTCCACACCAGCAAGTAGACAAAGGGGCCATAAAATTTGTCCTCAGCGGAGCAAACATCATGTGTCCCGGGCTGACGTCACCAGGCGCTAAACTGTATCCAGCTGGAGCTGACACGGTAGTTGTATCCTTTTATACACGGTGCTGCACATGGAAAGTGATTTCCACACGATATGTTAGTGAAACTGTCCTATGCCATAGAGTTAAATATTATGAAAAAGTATATTAAAATTTTAGTCTCTTTCCACATTTTGAATCACTTGCCTACGAGTTTGTCTTTAACATGTTGATACAGGCCATAATGGCAGAGGGAAAACAGCATGCACTTTGTGTTGGTGTTATGAAGATGTCTGCGGAAAACATGTAAGATTTTTTTCCACACCTTCAACTTTTTACAGAAACATACATTTCTGTTCTGTTGCCACTCTTTGATACCTGATCCGTCTTTGTCTTTTGACAGAGAAAAAGTCAACAAGGGAATTGGAATTGAAAACGTTCATTATCTGAATGATGGATTGTGGCACATGAAGACGTATAAGTGATGACATCAACCCCTGCAACGCTCTCCCCCGCACTACCCCTGCACCTGTCCCCCCCACCACCCAGAAAGTGTGGAGCTCTTGACAGCAAGGCATGACCTGCCAATCAACAGTTTACACCTACGGACTAACCTGCTGGAGGCTTTGAATCAGTTGCCATTATGCACAAATAAAAGAAAGATCTTGCCTTACACCTTTAATATTTTGATAAACTTTATTACCTGGTTTTCATGTAGTATGATGCGGAGTAACCAGTTTATTCAACAGTACAGGATGTGTGTCGATATTCAAATAATGAACAAAGGAGTGGCAGGTTGGCATAGGTTTATAACTGTCAGACCTGTTGTTCAGCTCCTCAGTGAAAAAAGCTCGACACTGTGCTCTCAGATGAAACCTGGTGAAATTCAAGGTGTTGAATTTACATTCAGTTGCCAATTTATTAAAGCTGATGATACACAGAGCAACTTTTAGAGCAATCGTGCAGGGCAACGTTGTCGTCAATGGTAATGAATAAAGAATACTACCGTAATCCCCTTCCCCCACTACTCCGCCCTGTACCGCCGTTATCCGTAACATAGTCGGACTTGCCACTAGCAAGATTGGCCAGCAACATTGCTCAAAAAGTTGCCCCGTGTATCATCAGCTTTAGTTCATCTAGCTAAAAATAACAGCCCTGCAAAACTAATTACCTTCATGAAGGTTACAATCAGTTTACACTGACTATGTTCTTCTTTGAGTTTTTTTTTTCCTCAGTTTTTAAAAGAAATATACTTATTTATTTAATATACCCATAAAACAACATTGAGGTATATTATTTTCCATTCAGCTGTGAAGGCCAATTCTTCATATGTGGAGATGCACTTCATTTGGAGCCGAGCTGTACATTGTATGTTTGACTCAATAATTATACAATCTTTAAATCAGTTGGGTGATGTATTCTCAGAGATCAGGAAAAAAAAGTTGTATGTGGTTAAGATGGTCGAGAGCTTTGAACAGTTAAATAATTTCAAGAACTTGACATTTCCAGAAAACAGCATCACCTAACGCAGGTTTAAGACTACAAAAAGACAAACATACAAGATACATAATATTACAATAACGAAAACTTCCAGAGAATCTTGTCTGTCTTAATTTCCCAGCGATCTTCATTCAAAAGAAGAGCACACCCATCGGCTCTGATTACCTACAACACAAAGGAATGGGGCGCTGATTGTGCCAAGTGCAAAAGGTACAAATATACATAAAAGTGTTATTCCCACAAAGAATCCAGTTTTACAAACAGCATAAGAAAACCATCTCCCCAAAGTTAGGTTTGCCATCATGGAAGCAAAACATTTAAAATGCCACATTCAGCTTGAAGTAATGAGTCTCTAGTCATTGTCTGAACCTTCAGGAGGGTAAAATACTAACGAGTCATGAAAATCGTGGCCGAAAGGACGAAGTCTGTAAACTCCAAACATCATAACCTGCATTTGATTCGGTGACATCCCGTTGAATGTGACTGCCATGTTGGAGCAACAGCCCTCCAATACATTAGTGGGGTTGTCCCTCATGCTGTCTGTTATCAGGCCGTCTACGCTCTTACTGTTAAACACGCTCTTTCCATGTGAATCTTCTCCATTTTCTGCAAAGACACCGGTATATTTGAGACACACTGCCAGCTGCTTGTCCTCGCTCAGCTTCCACAGGGCACGTCCTCTTTCAGGACATTTGCCTTCATCCTGGAACACATTCACAAGCCTTCTCAGGGCTTCATAGCTTAGAACAATGCCACTATCGTACGCCACATACTCAAGCTCGCCTGACTTCAAAGCGTTGCCCAGGTAGAAGGGCTCGCTGGGATCCTTTGTGAGCACCAGGTATTTGAGGTTTTCGATGATGGCAAACGTGGTGGGCTGTGCCACAAAGAACCAGCGCAGGTCACCGGCATTCTCATAAGCATGCTTCAGAGCTTTACGTAACCTTGCCCAGTCATCTTTTTCATTCAGGTCTATTGCCTCAAGCGCCTTAGAGCTCTCAGAGGTATAAAACACGGCCTTGTCACAGTGTTTGCTCCAGGTGTCGATGGCAGTGGCCCAGTATAAAAGGACCTTGGGCTGGACCATGATGACGCAAGAGACCCGGACTTGATTAGTCAACTCCTGCACCTGACTGTCAGAGAGGTGCTTCAGCTCATTGTTATCCGGGGCCTTGACGTGATGATGATGATGATGGTCCTCTGCCCTGGGCTCCGTGTCAGGGCTGAAACTACCCAGGAGCGACAGCACCAAGCAGAAGAGACCTCCCATGACCACCCCCTTCATGAAAGAGCCTCCTTCAGACAACATTATGGCAGCAGACACTGGACAAGAGACAAAACAAATAAAAATATAATCAACATTATTCAATAAATCTGCAGAATCCATATACAAAATACCTTGTTAGTTGTAGTCCTTACCCGGTTTCTGTTCTACGTTAGAAGGCGCAAAATGTGAAAAATTAAGCAGTTGGTCAAATCTCTACTAAAAACAAACAGATGAATTTAAGTTCTGACGAAACATTAAATTTTTACTCATTTAGCTGACACTTTTATGCAAAGCGACTTACAATTGCTATATATGTCAGAGGTCGCGTGCCTCTGGAACAACTAGGGGTTAAGTGTCTTGCTCAGGGACACATTGGTAGATATGTCACAGTGTGGAATCAAACCTGGGTCTCTCACACCAAAGGCATGTGTGTTATCCACTGCGATATCACCACCCTACATTACAGATGGCTCTGTTTGTCCAAATAAGACCAATTGTTTTTTATTATCTTAGACATACTGAAACCACCATAAACGGTTCCTTTACTTCATGTTTAGACCAGTTTAGATTCACTGTAATGGTCTCCTTGCAACATAAATCAGAAAACAATTCACTTCACATACTTCACATTGTACAAAAAGTGTCACCAAGACAACTATCAAAAAGTAGGAACAGAGATCATATTAATCTCTTTTCAAGGTCTAACGCCAGCTACCAGTTTACTACAGAGTAAATACATAATTAAGGACTGGTTGTGCAGCCTTGCGCAGTGTGCTCATTACTGACTGGCTGGAGGTGTTTTTCTAGTCATCAGTGGCAGCCCAAATGTAATTTAAAGCTATCCATTACATAACGAGTTCATCTTCCATGGAGCTAGATGTTAAACAATCACTGCGGTACAATGTTTGCTGGCTTGATAAAGAACAATAATGATAAAGCAGTTAAGGTCCGAGTTGAGTAAAAGTATTAAACGGTTGAGCGTTTCGATTAAACATTATGAGCATCTGTCTGTTTGAACCTCTTAAGTTTACATTTTAGCGATTCTGAAAAGCTAGCATGAACATGAACATGAACATGCTGATGTGTGTTATAGGAGTTAAAGCAAACAGTAACTACCAACTGCTAGCTAACTGTTAGCTTCCCATTTATACTGTGGCTATTCGTTACATTATCTTATTGCTTCTGTTACACTAACGTTACACGACTAACTCGGCTAAATCTTCTTAGCAACATAACGTTAAATATAACAAATAAAGAGAGTTTACTGTACCTAGTTAGGTTAATGTTGTCGTGCCAGGTGGTGCTCCTGCTTTCGCTTGTATTTCAACTCTCTCCTTTCCTGTTTGCTCGGCTAGGACAGTTAAACAACTAGGTTAGATACGTGCACAGCCCCAACACACACTAGTGTTTAACACTCACGGACTTCCGCTTTCTGAGATCACGTGACTCCGAGGCGGAGGTCCCGTGTAGCTCCTTTCATTCAAGTTTTATATTATTACATAAATTAATGATAATATAAATAAATAACGTCAAATCAATACATTACGAGATGCCTTTAAAAGTATTAAACTTTAATGTAATGTTGCTTTATCATTCCTTTTTAATTGGGGTTCATTTATTTGTCAAGATGGCAAGATGAGTCTATGGTGTTTACATGGAGAATGCTTGGTACTCAAACACTCTCAAAATGGACACTGTTTCCAAAATGTCATACTTTTTCTGTGATAAAATATATTTTATATTATCATGAAGAATGTTCTGGGTGTGCATATATAAATGACTATATACATTGTTTTATTTTATTTTACTTATTTTACATGTTACCATATTTTAATTAATAATCTGTTTTATGTGTGTTGCATGAAGGACTATAAAATTTCTTTTCATTATACAACCTTATGATAGTATTATTTTTTTAACCAGGGGGAAAGACCCATTGAAATAAAATTTATTTTTCAAGGCAGCCCTGGCCAAGAAAGGCAGCAGGAAAGCAAGTCCGACAGTAGCCTACAAACATAAAACGACACAATACAATCAAAAACATATACCCTTTTACCTATATAAAGTAACAGCCCACTATCAAAACCAGTACATTAAAACTTAATTAAGCTGTTAAAATACACTAATGTGACACCTGCTTACTTAAAAATGATAAATGATAACATAAATGATAAATAAGCTACTGTGTACCTCATTTAAGTCTATCATTTTTAATTAAAAATGCCCTTTTCCACATTTTTTTAATGGCATTTTTCCCAGCAACACTTTTATTTCATATAATATTTGATTTATTTATTATATTTTACACTTTATATATCCATATTGATTATTTCATAAATGGGGTTTCTATTTATGTAATGTTGATCACTTTGGGGTTCCATAATATTAGCAGTCAATTTTTTGAAATTGTTGATTGGATGGTGATTGTGTATTTTTGTTGTGACAAGATCTGCTTTTGAGATATTTGAGGCTGTTTTGAACTGTGGGGTATATATAGATATATATCACTCCTGGGTTGGTATGTGTCATCCTCAATCTTGGGTCCTCTACCACAGGCCTGGGAGTTTGAGGGTTCTGCGCAGTATCTTAGCTGTTCCTAGGACTGCATTCTTCTGGACAGAGACTTATGATGTTGTACCTGGAATCTGCTGGAGCCACTCTTCCATGTTAGAACAATGATCTAGGAGTTGTTTCTTTGTCAGTTTCAATGTTGGGTTTCGAAGCATCCATATATCCCACATTCTCTGCATAAAACCCCTCACACCGGGATTGCTTGCATAGTAGCATTGCTATTGTTGTCCTGGTTCGCTAGCCGGCGAAATTATTAGTACTATAATCAACAGTACCATTATTCATTTTCTGTATGCTGTGTAGTCTCTCTTTCTCTCAAGTTCAAGTTCAAGTTCAATGTGCTTTATTGGCATGAATGTTTCAGTTAAACAATGTTGCCAAAGCAGTTTGCAGCAAAATAAAAAAGTTTACATTTCAATATGACATAACAAGATAATGAATCAAGGCCATTCAATCTCTCTCTCCCTCGTCCTCAACCGGTCGAGGCAGATGGCCGCCCACCCTGAGCAATTGTTCTGCTCGAGGTTTCTGCCTCTTAAAAAGAAGTTTTTCCTTTGTTGCCAAGTGCTTGCTCATGGTGGGAATTGTTGGGTCTCTGTAAATAATATTACAAGCACTCTGCTCAAAGTGGGCATCTGTTGCAATTGTGGGGAAAATTCTAATGTAACTAGAACTGAAACAATTAGTTGAATAATTGGTTAGTCGATGAACAATTAATAGTTTAAAATAAAATGGCAAAATTCACTGGTCACTCAACCTCTTATATTAGCTTTAATCAATTTATTCATTTTAATTTCATTTTGAGAAAATACTTTATCTACTTAAGCATTATGCAAAGAATTTCTACTAAACTTTACATTTCAAAAATAGTTTAAAATTATACTTGGGCAGCAGCTAACAGTTAAAACTTGCTTTGTACATGTTCTTCAATAAAGTGTTGTAAAAAAGAAAAGGTAAAGAAAAAATAAAAAAATAAATAAAACTTCTTCTTGCTTTTAAATATGTACTTCAGGAACATTTGTTCAAGGAAATAGCTTGTACTTGTCAAACTGGATTTAACTGTACAGCTCAGATTAATCTTGTGACACTTTGGAGGGACCCGATCCGCAGGATGGAAACCACTGGTCTAAACTACCTGATTGAGTAAAGTAAAGTAGATAAGCTCCACCTTGACCAGCTACAACAATAAAAAGCTGCTTACTTTATATGTTTTTAACAATTCATTATTAACAATTGAGAAATTTAACAGGCGAAGTTTTAGTTATTTTAAGCATTTTTTTCTGATGATACTTATCTACTTAAACAGGGATTTTAAATGCAGGACTAATTACCTTAAAATTTCCATGACCATAATTAAAGCATGACATTGATAGTTATTGTTTCTTTCCTTTTCCAAATGAGTAATGTGTCTGATATGTCAGTTTTAAAGTCACTGCTTGATCTTAAAGCTAGACTCTGCTGTGCTTTTACATCTGGTCATTGACTGCTCTGCAGCCAAATGTATCAAATGTTGTTGTTTTCAACAGCCATTTCAGAGATGTGGAGACAAGTGTATAAATCACCTGATGCCACTCATCTGAAGAACATTAGTGACCTTTCAGTTTGACAAAAAGCCCTGCGGCACAAAGCCTTTTCGAGCAGCCGAAAATTCTTAACTTGTTTTGATCTTTGATATTTTTGGAGACAATTACTCCTGAGTTTCCTTTTACATTTTAAGCTTTAATGTTCACACTCCAGTGTTTCCCAAAGGACTCTTAGCACAGTTATTTGCATATTCAATTTAAAAGTTCTTCTTAATTGTAGTAGTGCAATGGTTCAAGCTTACTGAACTGGCTCTTCATCAGGTAAAGAGAAAATCTGTCCTGGAGCCATCAGGATTATTTGACCTCTGTATATCCTTGCCTAGTCTGGCAGTTGTCTTCGGTGCATGTCCTGTACAGGACATTGCACATTTGCACTTGTGTCTTAAGTTAAAAGCCTGCTATTCTGTACCATAAAATTTGTTTCAGATATTATGGTGCCCAAATGATGTGGCCTAATGACTTCGGTGATCTCCTGACTTTTTCTCTATAGCGCTACTATGAGGTGGACATTTGTGGTTTTCAGTCAAAAGAGCAAGCAGCTGTTGATTAGATTGCTATGATTGACATTCACTTCCCCCTCAGGGTTAATTGCAAAAACTTGGCTGATCACTTTACTTTTCACCTTGGTCAATAGTTTGGTTTATGACCAAATGCGTGCACACTAATGACATTACCAAATTAAGACTCCCAGTTTTCGAACTACTTGGAAAAGTTTCTGTTTATCTGTCAGTGGTGTTAATTTGTGGAATAAACTAAATAATGAATTAAAGCAATGTCCAAAATATTCCATTTTAAAAAGATGTTCAAAGAAATTATATTCCAGAGAGACAGAGAAACACAGTGCTAGTAATAACCTGGGCTTATATTGAATAATTTGTGGTATGTATAAATATTGTTGTATATGTGTAATATCTTTATGTGAATAGAATATATATTTTCATTGATTATAGATTTATTATCTCTGTAGACTTATTATTTTGTAGTTATTTCCTTAAATATGGTAGTAAGGGTATAAAGGGGTAGGAATACATAAGTTTTACTTCTTCCTACCTCCTTTTTGCACATGTAAATAGAGGTTTTAGAAGAGAAGTACTGCAAAGTATGGAGTTTTACTTTGTGTTTACGTTGTTCATTTGTTTTTTATTTTATGTTTCTCTGATTATTTTTTAAATTTTATTTGCATGTTCAAAATAAAGATATAGGCTAAATCAATCAAACATTAGCCTTGTTTACTGCTAATTAGCAAATGCATGCTAACAAGCTAAACTTGGACGTGTTAGCATTTCTCCCAAAGCACTGCTGTGCCTACTAAATCTAGCCTGAGCTGCTAGCAAGGCAATTGACTCTTGGTTATCTTGGTTATCTTGAATTTGTTTTCCTTTACATTAATTTTTTTGACTCTAACCCTAACCCTTTTTCACATGTGTCTTTTCCAACAGCCTTTTAAAAGATTTTTATTATTGATAACAAATGCAACATGAAATATACAGATACAGAGCAATCTAAAGTTCACATTTGAACCTTTTTTCATCTTAACATAACCTGCTACCCCTTCACTAATCCCTCCAACATCTTCCCCGCAACCCACCCCCAATCTTGGTCAAAATGCACAAAATTTGGAGAATTACAAAAGTAAACTAACAATTGTCAGTACAGAAGAAAGAAGATGCACCATGCCACTTTACAGTTGACCCAATAAACTTTGGTTTTCACACAAGCATATAACAAAATGTTTTCATATTTACCACAACAATTTGACATTTTTGGCCCCGAAGACAATCGCAATCAAGTGCTTCACAAATTTCATTCAACACAAAATGACGTAGAAACCCGTATACAGTGACATAGTTCCAGCAGCTGTGTTCGTGTGATCGCAGACATGAGCGACGATATATTTGAACAGCCCATCTCACAGAAATGGTGTCAGACATAAACCATTGGAGCTTTGCTGGGCAGCCGCTGATTACTCCTGGAGAGTAAACATTTGTTAGGCCTCTCTGTACAAGCACAGATAGGCTTCGGCTGAATTGACAGGGTCCCCTAAATTGTGTCTATGGCACCTGATCCATCGCGTCAAAACCATTAAGAAGGAGACTGGGTGTGATGATAATGTATTGATCCGATTGTGATGGATGGCCTCTGAGGATATAAAAGTGAAGTTCCTTGCCGAGCAGAGGTATAGTCCAGAACTGGCCATCTAAAGATAAAGGCACCATGATTTCTGTAGCTCTGTTTTACCTTGCCGCTGTGATTTGTTCTGCAAGGCGGACACATGCTCTACCGCTGTACCCTGAAACCGACCTGGAGCCACAGGCAGGTGAGACATTTTGGACGTTTTCTTCAGTTTAGCTGAAATTGTTTAATTACTTTATAGGCAAATTTGACTTTCTGTCAAGAGCACCTTGCACCTTAATGATGGACACAGTGTATTCAACCTGTGCCAGACAACATAACAGTAATTCAACCAAACTCTGTTCATATTCAACCAAACTCTGTTCATATTCTTCGAGTTAAATGAAATATTTTAATATCCTCTTTTTGAAATGAAGAATCTTTCCACTTAATATACAGCAGGGTTATTAAGGTCATAATGACAGGATGATTTGAGAAAGTTGTTTTATCTCAAAAGATTTCATTCAGAAATTAGTGTCAGAGGTGGAAGGTGGAGCCAACGCTGCTGAGGGGGAGCAGAGAGAGGTCAATAATTTGTATCCTCTACTGATGCAGCACAATGGCGGCAGAGACTCTTGGAATAAAGGTAAAACACAAGTATCATGTTAAATCAGTCACATATATTGTCAACAAAATAGTTTTTTCACCTTGTTTTTTTCTGTTTTTAAGGGACTAAAGATTCAGCACAACAAGATAAGTTTGCAAACATGGTAAGGATGATAATCTACCGTATTAAAATCCATTTGAAGTTCAAAGTGAATTCAAAATTGAAAAAATTCAAAGAAGTAAAAGGTAAAATGACACAGAAAGATCATATAATACAGAAATTAGCTTTTACTAGATATTTAAAGGAAGTCACAGAGAACTGAGAGCAAGATTTGTTTTAACAGGAAGGCTGTTTTAGAGTTTGGGGGCTCTGACAATAAATGCAACTCCTTTAGTTTTAAGTCTAGATCTGTGGGATTAGTAGCAGTAGTTTTGTTGCATATGGGCACAGAAGCTCACAAACATATGCTGGAGCCAGACGATGGAGTGCTTTAAAAGTAATACCTTAAAATCCACAGATGAATTTACAACATATTATCTGCATCTGCTTTCGTTGTGTTTTTAGGTTGAGGACCTCAAAGAAGCCGTCTTGAAGCTTGCAGCGGCTGACAAGCTTCGCTCTCAGGGTTTTCTCAGATCAGAGCAGAATTTGCCAAAAACAAACAAAAGGGGTGAGTGACAACGACAAGCCGCACCTGCTGTTACAGTCTTTGACGAGTGCTTTATTATAATGCAATGATCTAATCAGAAGAGTGTTTGACTAAGGCTTGTGCCATTTAAAGCATGACAGATTACTCACACCTAAACAGTTAGCAGAGCAGTATAATACTCTGCTACTAGTAGAAGTATACAGAAATGGACTGGTACGTAACTCCACTGAAGTGAAAAGAAATAGTAACTACTTTTCATATAAAATAAATTGTTTAATGTGTTCTGCATTTATTCATTTAGCTGACGCTTTTATCCAAAGTGACTTACAATTGCTATATATGTCAGAGGTTGCACACCTCTGGAGCAACTAGGGGTTAAGTGTCTTGTTTAGGGACACATTGGTGCCACAGTGGACTTGAACCCGGATCTCTCACACCAAAGGCATGTGTCTTATCCGCTGTACCACCACCACATATAAAGGGTAAAAGACTTATACGCTTAAGTTACAAACAATACGCTTAACAGCACAGAATTCAAACATGCATTGTTTTGAAGACATATTTTATTCCAAATGTGTTTTACTATATTGTCATCCATTATTTTGTCATCTGTTTATACACCAGCCTCCACTTAAGGAGTTACAGTTGTTGATAAACATATTAATAAACAGTTAAATCTGCTTACAAGCACATTATATTGTGTTTTTTTTTTTAGTAAATTGTTACCAAATATAGTACAAGTAAAGTACAAGCAGTACACTAAAATGCTACTTGATGATATGTTACAGGGGTAGATAATAAATAATAATTATGTACTTCAGGTGAAGTACATTTTATTTCTAAAATCCAAAATCACAAATTTCCTTTAAAGGATTTTACAATCTGTTCAACATCTAACACTTTCTATCCCTCAATTTGGAAACACTTACTCTTAATAATATAGTCTTCGTTATGCATAACATACAGAAGTACCACTAGAAAACAATATGGAGAAACAGGCTGACAATTAGGTAAATTTTAAAAGTAAATTTCAAATGTAATATGTGTAAAATGTGTTTGGACTTGAGAATGTGGATTAGAACTAACCAAACTTGACTTGAGTTGTCTTCAGCTTCGTTCTTAATATTTCTCTCTGTTGTCCTGACAGCATGTTTCTGGAAATACTGTGTCACCAACTAGAACCCTGCGGCGGCAGGACGTTTGGTTTGATCTCATTTCGCAGCCTGGCTTGAAACGTCTTCACTCTTCAACGGCATTTCCCCCCCCAAACAGTATATTCATCATCCAAAATGGAACAACAGAAAATCTATTTTTGAAGCTTTAACATTTTATGTGGCTGAAAATAAACTTAAATATCAGAAATGCCTTTTCTGTGATGTGCTTTTGGTTGTGATGTAAGTTTTTAATGTACTATATGAGTTGTAAAGAAGGACGATGAAATTCAGGATTATTTCTTTGTTCATTTCTACAAGGGAGCATTATTAGCACACACACAAACCACACTACAATGAAAGAAAACCTGACAGATGAATTTGATATTTTTTAATAGTGTGACAGTGAGACAATTTAATCATATTAAAAGGTATTCGTACAGGATAAGATACAGAAGTGTATTTCATGTTTTGCATAAAAATGAACTGTTCATGAAGACTTCTGACACACTTATACAATTGTATATATTTTAATGAGGGTGTTTTGATCAAAGCATGGAAAAATATCTATATTTACACTATAAACAAAAACTCTGCTTAATTACATCAACAGGCAATTGCACATTTGGCCTTTTAAGTGTGGCATAAACACACCATTGGTCTGTGAGTGACTATGGATAAATAGTCAGTACATACAACCAATAAAACTTTTAGCTTTAGTCTTACTGCAACAACAGGTCAAAGTGTTTCATGTGGAATAGTGATTCATTGCCACAGTTTATTATTGTAGGTTGTAGCGCCCTCTACAGATCACCATCTTTACATGCATGGTTACAATGGGTGAAAACAGGACTTAAATTACAGAGAATCACAGGTTCATTTCCTCTGGTTGGCCACGCTAAGATAAGCCTTCTCAATTTCAATGTCGGCTGGACACGTCTGTTTGAACTCCTCTCTCTCATAGGCGTTTTGAAGGTATCGCCACACGCCTGTGAACTGGGCGGGGATTTCAAAGTTGCAGTACTTTTTGGCAGCAACCTGAAATAAATGGAAAGGGAGATTAAATTTAAGCATTTTGAGAAACCGGCTACATAAAGATCACTAGGTGAAAGAAGTGCTCAGATCATTTACTTAAGTACCAACACAACAATGTAAAAATGCTCTGTTACAAGTGAGGTAAAAGAATGTTATACTGTTTATGGTACTTAAGAATAATACATCATATGTTATAGGTTTCTAAAATTTGTGAAGTAACTAGTAAATATAACTATCATATAAATAAAACAATAACAATATTTCTCTTTGAAGCAGTTGCGTACAGCTCAAGTAAACTGTAAAAATACAGCAAATACAAAAGTATTATCAGCTAGTCATCAAGTATCAAAACTACTTGTTCTGCAGAAAATTGATTGAGACACTTTATACATGACATCATTAGATTGCTAATCCTGATGCATCAGCAGCATTTTTACTGTTGCAACTACTCAGGGTGGAGGTATGTCGGTTTTTATGTACTTTTATTTACAGTTAAGTAGATCAGTCTAGTGGTTCACAACCTAGGTGCCCCTCCAATGGGTTACAAGATAAATCTGAAGAGTTGTAACTTGTTTAATGGAAAAGCAAAGAAGAAAAACACAAAATATTTTTTGCGTTTTCTTTAATTTAATTATTATTTAAATGAAACCATCTGAGAGGTTTAGATGGGAAATTAGAGGGGAACTGCTAACAAATCATCTGAAATATGACATGGGGCCCAAACCACAAACTGTTAGGTTAGGATCCACCATTTTTATCTTTAATAATGCATTGTATTTCATTATCTTATATAATCATATTTTAATGTGAAAGGTAACATGTAAAAGACATCTGTCAATCAAATGCAGTAAAGGTGCAATAGTTCCCTGAAACAAAAGTAGCATAAAATGGTTATAGTATATGTATTCAATTACTTTCCACCACTGCCTTCACACACCCAAACATGCATTTCACTCATCATACTAAGATTAAATCTACTTCTGCTATACCAGAGACTACCCGAAAATGGAAACAAAAATGATGCAGTGTCTCACCCTGATAACATGCAGTTTGGGCAGCAGGTTGCAGTCAGCTAAAGTGAGACGGTCGCCGTCCAGGAACTTCCTCTTGGAGACGGTGACGGTTTCTCTGGAGTTATGGTCAATCTCCTCAGGGAGGGGGGAGTTCAGGTAGATATCTAGGCGCTTGAACTCCCTCAGCAGGTTTTTCTCTTGAACTGGAGTCAGAAACACAGATATATGATATTTTGCATGTAATCTACAGGTAGACTGTAAGCTTTTGTATTTAAGTACAGTTTTGAGGTACTTGTACTTGATGTGAGTGCTTCCATTTATGCTACTTTATACTTATACTCAACTACATGTCAAAAGGGAAATATTAGAGAATTCACAGGTGGAGCCATTGCTCTCATTTATGACAAATTGAATGGGCGGCCAGTGTTATAGCATACATACATGTAGTACATACATTGTTAGTAGATACCTATGATAAGCTTATTATTATTGGGGACTGCAGATGTAAATTAGCCTAAGGCTAACTCTGGTGTAATGCATCAAATGTTTACATTTATGTTATTAATTGCACATGGTCCCTTCTAAATAAAAAAATCAATCAATCAATCAATCAATTAAATAAATAAAAGTACTCGTTATGCAGAATAGCACCATTTAAAGTGTTTTTATTATATTATTGGATTATTGTCACTGTGTAGTGCTTCAAAACTTTACTTAAGCACAACAAAGTTAATGTACTTTATTAGTAATGTGATAACACATTAAGAATCTATTTTACTATTTCCAAACATGTCACATCCTTAAAGGTGAGAATAATTGAAACCATTATGAGCCCCAACTCACAGGTGTTATTTGGACTGTTCTTGATGAAAGCAGAGAACTTTGCAAAAATGTCAGCACCCACGTCAAAGGACTCTTTGTTTAGCGGGCTGAGATGAGGATACCTGCAGAGGAGAGAAGAAAGGAGAAGCCTGGGAGTAAACTTGTTTGATGAAAATAAGCCGTCATCATGAACGCACTTCCTTAATATTTGTTTAATGATGGAGTGCAACAATACCTAGGAGGGGCCAGTGTTTGCTCAAGAAACTCCTCGATTTTGATGAAATCTGTTTTGAGGGTGCCATTGTAGAGGAGGAAAGGAGGGTTGGTCCCGGGGGCCAGGTCTTTGAGCTCAGCTGGCTTCCTGAAAAGGACGTAAAAAGATGGAGAGAGAAGAGGGCAGGGAAGGGGGAGACATTAGTTATAGATGGATTCAGTTCATTGAATCACACTGTTATCAAGCACGTCAAAACTGAGAGCATGTTGGTTATCAAGGCTGTCAGAATCAAATGTGGCACACTGGATTAATGACTTCAACATTGGCTGCTGGTTACGGAAAAACACACAGCGCTGGGAGTGGTTGGCTGTTTAAGAGGCCCGTAGTGTGTGTTCTGAATCATTCAATTATCAGGATCCTTTCATAATTTCCATGTGTTATTTGCTCACCGGTAATGACCCTGAGAAATTCACACAACAAAGCCTCAATTTAAGAAGGTGTTTGAAAGCGACACAGAGCTCTTTGTACACTTTGGCTTCACGGGCCCCTCCCTCCAACCTCTGTTAGAGTGAGCAACACGTGGAGAAATGGTTTGGATTACTGAAAGAAACTTCTCAATTTCTCTCTCGTTTGCTTCTTAATAGAGTTCTGTGTGAAAGTCCCCATGGCCAGATGCTCAGGAAGTGTTTGTGCCAGGGGAGGGGTGCTTACTTCCTCATGTCAACAGTGGTCACTGTAAACTTGACTCCTTTCAGCCACAAAACCATGAAGAGCCTTTGACAGAAGGGGCAGTTCCCCACGTTTTCACCATCATGTCCAGCCTGAAAAACACAGTATTACAATTTTAATTTGATGACCACATGAGCTGCAAAAAAAGCTAGTGAAGCAATCACAATATCTCTTCTCCTCGCTTCTGCTGATAAACAAATAATTTTGGAAGTGAAAGGCGTGTCTGAGATGTCGAAAGGCAGTTTCTTCCATGGAGGGGAAAAGCAGGCATTGTGTTGTAGAGGAAAACAACAGACACTAACATTTGCTCTTCTCCACCTTCAGCCAGCTCAAAGACGACAACACACATCTGTTTAAAGCCCAGTGTATTTCTGAGCACCAGCTTTTAGCTAATGTGTTGTTGTTAAAGGAATTAGTTTGACATTTTAGTAAATATGCTTATTGGCTTTCTTGCTGAGAGTTAGATGAGAAGATCCACACCACTTTCATGTATGTACAGGAAATATGTAGCTACCACCACCAGCAGCTGGTTAGCTTAGCTTAGCATAAAGACTGGTGGGGGAAACAGCTAACCTGACTTTGTCCACAAGTAACTAAATGTGCCTACGACACCTCCAAGCTCACTAAATAACACATCTTACAGATCTTGTTTGTTTCATTTATATAAAAACCTAACTTTAAAAAAGATTATGGGGGCTTATGTGCTAGACTATTTCTTGGATGGGAGCAGTGATTTCATTGAGTCTTGCTTGTGCCCAACTAAAGGAAGGGTCCTGCACATGACTCCAGTAAAAACACAGCTTGTGGTTTTATATACTAAGTTTTGTAAAGATTTAACAAACAAGATTTTATAGGTGAATTTGTGAGCTGTTAGCTGCTGGTAGGTGATTTTTTTTTAACCTTTTAGCAGAGCCAGGCTAGCTGTTTCCCCTCGTTTCCAGTCTTTATGCTAAACTAAGCTTACCAACTACTGTAGCTTTATATTTACTGTACAGTAATGAGAGTGGTATTGATCTCTGAAATGAGCATATATTCTCCAAAATGTCAAACTATTCCTTTAAGTTATTGAATGTTGAATGTTTTATTTACAATAAGAGTTAATGTGCTGTTTATCACATATTCTACTGTCTGTGTTATTTTTTTATTTGCTTTACTTGACCTTGTTTCACATATCAGAGGACACTGTGTCTCTGCACAGGTGCCATTAACATCAACACATTTGTTTACAGGTATAACACTGGCAGAATACAAAGATTCTGATGTATTTTATGGTTTGGATATTAGGCAACAACGTGAGGTGAGAAATGTGTTGTTTATGTGACTTATTGATATAGAGGACTATATCTGAATGTGTACGTAAGTGAAGTGGGTGTGCCTGGTTCAGGCTTGGGGCCAGTCACCCTTCATGCTCCCCGCTACTGATGGGTGTGCTATGATAAGGTCTAGACTGGCTGTCTGTGGCCAGAGTTCAATGATAAAAATGTGCTGTGACCCTCAGCAGGGATACAAACACCTCAGCATCTGTAACACACGGTATCTGTAGATGGCACCCACCAAAATGTAAGTTGTCCTCTGATTGATGCTGCTCATACAGTAACATACTGATGCTGATAAATGAGCAGCAAATCCTTGTGCGACTCCTTCATTTGCCTACATGTTTTCCTCAAACAAATTGGGAGAAATTGCATGCGGAGTGGGATTATACAAAGCACATTCTTTTGACAGTGAATTCCCCCACATGTTGCAGCCTATTTCATCTATACTTCTCTTGCAAGAAATTATTGAATTTGAAAAGGAATTACTGACCTTAATGAACAACTCGATGCTTGGCTCCTTGTCTGAGTTCTGCCGAAGTGCCATGTCGTCCCAAAAAAAGTTTAATTCACTTTTTTTAAAGTCCAAGTATTTGCTCTTCTCCTTAAAGGTTATTTGCACCCCAAAAATCCACCAAGCCACACAGAGAAAGCTGATAATACTGAACCTTAACAAGTGGTACTCTGGTTTCAAGTGTTTTTGTGGTCGTGGATGTCAGGAGAAAGTAAGTGTAGCACTTCACATCTGGTTGTGTTTGTTTGAGGGCTCCTTGGAGGCTATCGCTCTGAACATACAAGTCAGGGGAGAGGGAGGATCCAGAGAGATGGGCGGGGTACACACTCTTATATACCCTAAGCCAAATTCTGGAGAGCTTAAAATAGAATTCTCTGCATATTGCAATACACAGGAACTGATAACTCCATGTGACTCACACAAATTCAGACAATTCATTTCATCACAAAAGCAGCTTTGTTTCCCTGTATACTGAGTACTCCATATGGAGACAATGATAAAAAATTCTATCTTGACCTTGACCCTTTAGTTAACGTCAACATTAATATGCTGCTTAAACATAAATAATAATAATAATAATCTAATAACAGAAAAAAATAATAATATAGCATTAAGGTGACTTTAATTTGCCATCCTTCAGGTACATTTTACTGATAATACGTAAATATTTTACCTAGTAAAAAAAGGAAAAGTTTAAGTGCAGGACAACTACTTGTAATAGAGTACTTTTACATTGTGGCATTGCTACTTTGGCTTAAGTAAATATTCAGAGCAAAATCTCTGAATATTCCTGCCACCACTGAGTATAGTATATATGTTTCTAATTGTATAATGTTTTATATTTTATCGTACCAACAGAAGAGGTCAAGTGGGGTTGTCACCATGCTTTCAAACAAAGGGGTATTTTTAGAAATGCATCATGGTGAAGGGAATCCCCTCATCGTATTGGGCATAAAAAGGAAGGAGATTTACTTTTGATTTCTGATGTGTGTTGCATGAATTGAGGTGTGAAGAAAGTTTGGAGTATTGAAGAAACCTTTGTGCTTTACAGTTAAAGACATTTGATATTTTCCCCATTGAATACAATACATTTTCTAAGTGGTAATTAATAATGATAAGTAAAGCTGTCTTGGTAAATACATTAATGAATGCGACAGATTAAATTTCAGCTCATGACCACAAGTCCTCAGAGAGTTTAGGACTGAGGGCTCAGTTCAGTATTGGCATTTCTTGTAATATGTATCACTTGCAGTAAATAGGGGAAGTGAAATTTTATGACAAAATCCCCATGCCGTGGTGTAGACTTCTCTAAAAAATAAGATGAACAACATGTGTGGGTTTATGCAATCATCGCAATCACAAGGAGAAAATGCTCTGGGTCGAGTACTGTGTTTCACTGGCTGTGTGCCATTTAAAACAAACCAGTCTCATTTAAATTCCAAACAGATCCTGGAAATGTGATGAACAAATCTCGACCATCACAGGAAATCTAACAGGCAGAGACAGTTGTTGAAAAAAAAGCATCCTCCTCTTTCCTTTTAAATGTCTAAAAAGACAAACTGAAACCTAATCTCCCTTTCCACATGGTGGTACGACCAGTCCTCCAACACAGTCAGAGTGGACAGTTTTAAGGAATAATTACTCCCCTTGTTGACACTTCCTATGGGAGGTGAATGGAATTTTACTGGAGTAAAAGGTGGGTGTTTCACTCTTACTGATTAAGACATGGGCTTCCCATTTTAAATTATCAGCCCACACTGTTACGTCCACTCCACTACTCATGGAGGGAGTGTTTCGTGTGTGCTAAATGACTGGAGTGCCATTCAGATGTTCATTTTGAGTCACCATCACAAGTGGCTGTAATCACTGATAATGTCCTCAGTACTGGTGTATGACTTCACATGTGTTTTTCTGTCAGTGTTTGGTTGGTATGACAACAGCCATCACACCAGATTGAGAAATAAATCATTTGTAAAAGGGAAACTGAGGTTAAAATCACAGCATTTACAGTAAACTGGCTACGCAGATAGGACATTCAACAGGAGAGATTTCCTGGAAAAAATAACTGGCAGCAGTGGAAATGCGTTAATTCACCAGTGACCTTTCACTTCCTCTTTCATAGACAAAAAGATAGGAAAGACCTACCTCATAGAGAGAGATACACATATCTCCAGTGGACACACAAAGCAGCTGGAAGTGACCTCCTGGAAAAAAGTGCTTTATCTCCATAAACAGGACTCACTATTGACAACCCAGTCCAACCCACACACACACACACAAACACACCTACACACACACACACACACACCCACACACATACACACACACACACACACACAAGGTCAGGATGTTAAAGATTTTATTCTGTAAGCAAAATATTAACATGCCAGGGAGCCTCTGCTCTGCAGTTCTGTGTTGGATTCAATATGGCTGTCTTTTATATATATATCATAAAAGCAAAGTGTTTGGTCACAGAGCTTCGTTAGCTTTCTTTCTTATACGAAAAGACTAATATCACTCTCGTGTCTGGTAGGAGATTAGTCTAGCTTAGCATAAAGACTAACAGCAGGGGGAAATAGCTGGTTGCCTATGACAGCCTGTGGATTGGTTTCTATGTCAAGGACTCGGGACAGTTTTGCTGGGGAAATTCAAAGGATGTGACGTTTGTACGAGAACAGTGTGCAACACTAGCTAAGGCACCAGATTCTGCTCTCTATTAGTATTTCTTAGTGAACAACAGCTGAGCACGGTGGCTTCCTTGAGATTTGTCACCACAGGTTGCCAGGTGTGATGTCAGTGTGCCTGAGACATATACAGAAACCTCTGCTCACAGGGCGTCTCTGGCAATCTGCTGTTTGTTAAGAAATACCTCCAGCACATAACTCCCCCTAAAATTACAAAAAGGTAATTTTCCTCAACAGACAGTTACAACTGTGCTTTGCCTACTGTGACTTGAAAAAAGCAGATTGCCATTTTTAAATTCTACACTATTTGTGTATGGATTACACAAATGAGATACATGTTACCAGAGATCCCAAGTCCCTCCCCTTCTGGTGGACCACCATGGGACCCTATTTCAGAAAAAATATGTAAGGTAGTCAATGGCAAGAGACAGCAATTTTTTTGATCCCGTTTGAATTGTAATCACTGTTTGTTGTAAAACTGCTGAAGTATAACACCGTGAAAATACATAATTACAAAGACCACAAACCCAAAAGTCGTGTATGTGTCGTCAAAACTTTATCTCTCACTGACTGAAGCTAACATTACTGAAGCTAATGTCAAAAAACATACATTAGAAGATGATGTGGTGAAAGAACCAGGAGTCGTTGGATTAAACTCATCAGGTGAGATACATTTCTGTGTTGAACATAGCTAAGTTACCTAGCTAGTGAATGTTAGCTAGCAGTTCCATGTTAACATGTAGAGCTGTAGTCCATTGAACAGTTTTCACACAAAACTAAATGTTAACTTAATTTATATTTTAAATTGACAAAGATATTTGTGTAATTCACATGGGCTAAAAAATAACTTGTCTCACGCCATTGACTGCCATACATATTTTTTTGAAATAAGGGGTCCCATAAAGCGGAAGTGAGGACTTAGGCACTCTATTATATAATTATTATAATTATTCAATAACTTTTGAGATTTGGTTTCCCCCTTCTTCTTTATGCTGAGCTAAGCTCAGCTAATAGCCTTCTGGCTGTGGCTCCTGATCTCCGTACTTAACAAATAGACTAACAATTTGAAATAAAGCAAATAAAAATTAAATAACTTTGTCCTTATGTTCAAGCCACAACCTACAAAAGCCAACAGAAGTCACATGACAGGTTTTTTTTGCAATGTTGCCTTTTTTTTAATAAACTTAATGGTGACAGTGTTTATTTTCCTGTACACCTGTCTACCAGGTAAGCATTACACAAAACTAGGAATATAAAAACAAATGTACATGTATCCACACACATAACATCATCTCAAACTCAGTCAAAGCAACACTTAGTTGTCAGCTCTTTGTTTATTGCTAAAGGGGGGTGGCTGTTTCTTATAAACACAATGGCATCATTGACCTACTGACGGCTCTCTCCCAGTCAGTCAATCGCACAACAACTCATTACAACAAAGTCCCAGGGTATGTCGAGCAGGATATGCACAATGAGAGTGCCATGGAGTTCTTCTGCCTCTTCTTACCTCTTCTTTTGGCTCTGAGGATACCCACCGCACATTCTGCTCCTGACTTCTCTCGTAAGTGCTTTTTGCTTTTTTTTTTTTAGCAGAAAGTCAAAATGCTGACTGTTTATGTGAAGGATTTGCAAAGGAGGCTAGAGAGACATTAAGCATCCTCTACTATTTTCTGCACATCCTGCTTTTCAAACAGCTGGTGCAACTCATGCTGTAAGACCAAAATCACAGTCCTGAACTTTTATCTGCACACAGAATAGGACAAGATACTCCCAAAGCATTAAATCAACTATATTTCAGTTGTTTGACTCCTAGAAAAAAATGTGATGGATGATGTGATGTGTTCAGACAAAGCCAAAGGTGGCTCGACACCTCCATTGTGAGCATTGCAGTGTACGTCTCTATCTGACCTCAGCAGATATTTCCACTTTGTGTGTGGCTGCAGCCTCTGAGGGGTCTAATAATAGGTCATTGTGAGCGAGTGCCTGGTACTGCCTCTCATTTGCTTCCTCAAGCTTCACACACACACACACACACACACACACACACACACACACACACACACACACACACACACACAAGGAACCAAGTACAGGAAGCACACATGGGAGGGGAGACTTCACTTCACTGTCCATGTTCTGTTGTCTTGTATGTTTGTATGTGTGGTCAAAGTCTAAATACTGTCTTGGACAGCTACACCCAGTAACTGGGACTCACCCTGTTGACAAAAGAGGACTAAAAAATAAATCTAGTAAGTCACACTGTTGATTTACCAATTATGGACAATGAAGGGTTTTTAAATTCTCTATTATGTAGTAATAATAACTGAGTTAGCCAGTCTGCTTTCTTAACAATGGTAAATAATTGCCTTGTTACTATAGTAATAAATCAAATTAAAAACTCTTGTTTTATTACTTAGATAAATAAAACAAGTCAAAAAGTTTTTTTCAATTGCTAACTTGCGTTGGTCAAAACTGAAGTCACATTGTCAAAACTCTTCACACAGTCAGCACAACAGAAGTGTATGTGGACCAAACTGTGAATAATTTTTCATTGCATTCACACAAAATGCATTCAATGACCCCTTTCTCCAAAATTCATGAACACTGTATATCTGCAGCACATTTTTCAAATGCTAACACACTGTGTCCAAAATTGTTAAAAACACATTCAAAACAGATTGATGGTAAATGTACTGCATTTCTGCAGTGACCAGAATGAAATAAGTAGAAAATCTTAGAAGGCAGGCAATATCACTTGTGGAAATAGAAAAAGAAAAAATTTAGGATATTCAAGCATATTGCTGCATTTGTGATGCATTCTTGTTACATATACTTGTTACAGTACCGTCAAAGTGAAAATATGTTATTGTTATTGTATAATGAAAACCTAGTTTATTTGCTCATGCTTCAAAGATAAAAGTTCTTCATTTATGTAATGCTCCCTGTTTTAAGTGTTTTGCAGGTCATTGTTTTATGAGTAAGACTGTATGCTTTCTAAATGAGAATTGTTGCCAGTGTTTGGTGGTTTGAGTGACTTTTGGAGGTCAGATTAACTGTTTGGCCAAGATGCATGTTGATATTGCAGACTGTGTGAAGAGTTTTGAAAAAGTGTCTTCAGTTGTGACCATTGCATCTTAGCAATTGAAAAAAACTGTAAACGAGATGAAACTGACATTAAAGAGGCGGTATTATGCTTTTTAGCTTTTTACCTCTCCTTTTTTGAGTTATATACCTTTTTTGTGCATGTACTAGGTTTGCAAAGTGGAAAAGCCCAAAGTCTACCCCAAAGTGAGTTCCCATCTCACCACAGAAAATTCTGCTGTAGACTGCCTGAAAACAGCTTGTTTGTAGTCCAGCCGTTTCGATCCGTTTCCCTAAATGCCCATCATATAGGCTAATGCTCGCCAAGGGATGCTGCAGCACACACCTCTCCTCTCCCTTCCAAACACTAGCTACCCTCCAGGCAGTCAATGGACATGAAGTTGTTACTGTGATGTAGAGACAGAGCTCAGTTAAAACGTTGTGGATGAAAAATACTTTTGTTATAGATTAATAACTCACCACTATGAAACTCTTGCTCCAGCTGAACGGAAGCCCTCTGTTGACCGGCTTCTCACTGACCTGCCCTTCTCTGCTTCTGATTGGCTAGTAGTCCTTAACTTAAGCGCTTTGCAGGTTCAAAAACGCGAGGCCCACAGCAATGCCTTTTTTTTATGTTGCTGGGCAACCACCGAATCAGCTGTCCTGTAAGTCTAATCAAAAGATGGGCGCCAGCGATCTGTAGCCTAGGCTAATCTTTGGTTTGCCGCTAATTAATAACTTTCAAATTAGCTGAAGCTTGATCACAACTCACAGGTCTGTGTCTTTGTTGCTAAAAACATCTGCTTTAACACGCAGGAGACAGGGAAAGGGAGATCCGTGTGTAGCCTATAGCCTACATGATACCTCAGAATGAGGAGACACTGCTGGTAAGCCTACCAGTTGGTCCAGTAGCTTCGTCTTAATGATGGTCGGTTTAAGGCGTATTTTAGGATGAGTTGGGGCCAGTTTGTTGCAGTCTCCGGACAATCCAAGCAACTGTAAACTTCCGTCAGCACAACATTGGGCCTGTCTCTCCATTCATTCGATTGGACAATGGAAAAACGTGAATAGGCTACAATTAAAAAACGGCGCCTCTCGCTGCATAGAACGCGTTCTGTCTGATCCGGGCCATAAAAGTGAAATTAGCATCACCTTGTGTTCTTTTTTAGTATATCTTCACACCATCCTGAAGAACCACACGGCTCATGCTTGTGATGGAGACATGCTCATCATTGAGTGTCCCTCCAGGACGTCTGTGACGGTTCTGTCAGCTTTCTATGGACGACGTGTTCCTAATCAGCATTTATGCCCCTCTGCAAACACAAACATAACTGTGGAGGAGGATAAAGAATGCACTTCCCCAGTTGCGATGGAGGTACATAAAGCTACAGTGAGATGAATGTGAAACAGTGTATGTTTTATAAAAGCACCCTCACCAATGCTTTCATGTCTCACACAGCAGTAGTCAACATGTTTTCCCTGCCTTGCAGAAAGTACTGTCAGAGTGTCAGGATCACCAGTCCTGTCACATCCCTGTCTTCAGTCCAGTGTTTGGGCAGGACCCCTGTCCTCTCACCAGCAAGTACCTTCTAGTCTCCTATAAGTGCAGACCAGGTATGGTGCTATACTTATTATGTAGACACTCAAATAGTGATCTGGCAAAAAAAATCTTACCTCAAGGTCATCCTACTAGCTTTTCCCCCAGGCTTTCAACCATTTCACGCATCAACAGATGCAATTTGCTGTCATGGAGAGCTGTTGACAAGCAAGTTCACTGGCTGTTACAATTTCATTCATGGCACTTTTGGGACTTCTTGTTCTTATTGACTCATAAGTTTAACAGAACACAACAACAACAACAACAAATGTCTCTTTATGAAAATTGAGGCAAATTCATCTGCTATTGGAGGAAGTGTGACATGGTTGAAAGCTCTGGAATAGGCTAATGAGTGGACCATGAGTGGAGTTTTTTGGAAAAACAACTTATTCACAAACTTTGGCAATTATGTTTTTTAGAACAATAATTGCCATAGTTTTATTGAATGCATCTTTTTCTATCTTTCAGGCAGCCGCCGACTTTTGATCATTTAACTATGAAAATCAACTTGTAGTGACTTAAAACCTGATTGAGATCAATCACAGTTAACATCATCCCTATTTTTACTGACTGATTTGGAAAGCATGCACTGAATACCACAATACACACAAACCACACAACATAACATAAATTTGACTTCTTTTATTCCAAAATTACTCCCGAAGGAAGTATATAGACTAGGACTATAGAAAATGACATCATCCTTGTTTTGCTGCGAAGCTTCGACTGTGAGATTGAGAGTCAAATCAGGCTCCGCCCATCGAAGCATCAATCTTCGACTATTCAGGGTCAGTCCTAATATAGACATAATGTAGAAACATAATGCAACTACATTAATGAAGTAAGTTAACAGAAGGGAGCAAATACAAAACAATAAAGAAAACATTGATAAATATTCAAGTGTTATTTTAACAAACTGTAATTTTATATTTTTTGTTGTTGAATAATGTCTTTAACATGGCTTGGATTAAACCCTTAGTATTGTTTAAATAATCTGTTTCTCTCACTGTCAAAGCTTGAAAGAGTTTATGATGAAAGCCATCAGCTTCATCTCCAACCATCAAACACAAAGCACATGGTCTTGGAACATAGTCAAATAAATATCTCTTCTTTGAAATATGCAGCGCATAGAGACCACAGTTACATTTGGACAGATTTGTTCTGCACACAGGGCTCAGCACAAAGACATATTTTTTTAAAACAAAATCAGTAAAAAAGTAGATGATCTCAACTATTACGGATTCACCCACGTGATGTCATTTGATTTGCCGACACATATGAAATCACTGTCTTAAAGGAAGACAATGAAATATGTTATTCATAGTGATGAGCTCAACATGAACAAACTAGATGTTCATCAAAATACTCCTTTCTGTAATTATGTATTATGTTTGTGTGCATCTCATCTGTTTTTCAGAGCACCACAGCACGAGGCTGGTATGTGAAAATGAGCGTCTGAGGCTGATGTGTAAAAATGAAACTGTCCTCGCCATCTACTCGGCCACGTTTGGACACCTGCTGCATGGGAGTCCCTACTGTCCTCAGGAACCTGGATCACATAATGACATGGGTCCGAAACAGGACGCTTGAGTGTCAACAAACATCAGTTGTATAGACACAGTGGAGATTAACTGATGTGCTCTATTTATCTATTTGCACACATTAATTAAACTAATTAGATGAATTATGCACAGAAATGATTTGTTCACTGGCACATCTTCAGTGAGACCGTTTAATCACAACTGTATTGTTGATACCAGAGCACAATGGTACAATATTAAACTGACTGCAGTTATTAATTTTACTAAACTTATTGAACTTATTCCAGAGTGTTTGTCACCTTCGGCTCTGAGGAAGGTGTCACGCAGGTGTCATGGCAGAGCGAACTGCTCAGTACTGGCTGATATTCAAACCTTTGGGGACCCCTGCTTTCCCGGCACCAGGAAACACCTGCGAGTGTCCTTCACTTGTGGTACGTGACGAACCGGAAGTTACTACTTGTGACTGACATGGTTTGCTGCATCATGTAAAAATCTCTCATTTTCTCTTCAGTGCCTCGGTATCTTCTGGAAGATGTGGGTCGAGGGTCAACAGATCCTTTCATGATCTCAGACTACACACACGGTGAGAGTAAGATTGAAAATTCTCAGGTTTTGTTGCATGCAGCAGTCTTTGACTGGCGTCTGAGCCCAGACCCCTCTTCACCTGCAGGTGGATGGTACACTGGCCCCACCTACAGGCCTCAAAATGTGCTCTTAACCAACTCTCTGGAGATCATTGAAAAAATATTGGGTATGTGCACTGGTGCCTGTAGACCTCAGGCTAGGGTTGCATGTAAATGTAATATCGTTGTGGTTAGATCATATTTAATGGACCATACAGGTGTTTTAGCACATTTTAGTTGCACAAAATTGACATTAACGCAGTGGAAGAATGGGCTTCAGAAGTAATACATAGAAAAATTGATGGGAGACATTTGAATGCTGAATCACATTGCATTTAAAGTACGTCGTAGCTGCCCGTCCAAGCCTATTTGTGCTCCTTTAGCTTAAACTGAGCATATTAAAAATATAACAATGGCTCCCCTCCATTTTTCTATGTAGTGATGCAGAATTTGCATAAATACTTTGCACTACTGCTGACTATTTTCCAAAGAATATCATAATTTTTAGCCATTCGTTCACTTTCCAGTTCATTATAGTATATTAAAATGAACTAGCACATGTGAAAGCTGCTTAAGATATCAGGTAATCAGTCTAAATCAGTTTAAATGTTTTGTCAAGATTACATCATCAATGAATGGTAACAGCTGAAAGCTTGCTTTTCTTTTTTTGAATTTCCCGGGATGGTGCATTTGTGGGGGCGGTACAGTGGTGCAATGTCGCCTCACAGCAAGAAAGTCGCGGGTTCAAACCCCGGTTTCCGCAGCCTTTCTGTGTGGAGTTTGCATGTTCTCCCCGTGTCTGTTAATGATAATAAACGACTCCTTTTACATTAGAGTCAATTGAGCACAGACATGACAGTGTCAGACCTCAGTTAGAGCGAGTCCTATACTGCGCTGTGATTGGTCAGCTATGTATTCGGGACGTTGCTTAGCCAAGGGTCAAATACAAGCCCGTTCTGATTTTTATAAAAGTTCTCTGAATGTATAAAGCCTCTTGAAACCCACCGAGTCACCTGCTTGAGCTAAGCTGCTTAGCGCACACCAATATAAATATTTAAACTTTTGTCAATGTGGACATGCTACAGATCGTTACATCAGTTAGATTCTCCATAATTAAATTGTTCAGTTCATTTCACGGAAACAATGAGTCATTTAGATTTACATGGTAAAATAATTAAAGGCCTGTCCCATAAAGACGCCTGTCCCGATACAGGCAGGGTGAGTTCAGTGAATGAATCAAAGTTTATGGTATTTTAATTAAGTTTAAAACCTCTGCAAGTAGATTTTATCATGTAGTATTGACAGGACTGCTTGGGAAGGTAAAAGCGCATTAAACAATGTAAAAATGTTTTAAATTATCAACAGTAATGCAAAGTGTAAGCAAGAAAATTGGTTGACGCATGTAATAACACCAGTAGGGTCCTTAAAGAGATAATTTGGTGCAGAAGGCCAAGATGTTTAACTGGACAGACAACTGTGAATCTGCTGCATCTTATGTGAGCACATTCTTTCAGGTCTCCCAGAGCGAGTGGCTCTCTACTTTGTCTCTGGCATCTGTGCTGGTCTGGTTTTCCTGCTCTGCCTGTTTGGTCTGCGCTCCACACTAGTGAGGGATGTTAAAGATCTGGTTTCTGAGCTGAACGATGAGCTTAAAGCGTCTCGCAGACAGCGCAAGGAGCTCATGGAGGACCTCTTTGACGATGACATCTCAGACACGTCGTCCTTCTGTCGACTCACACAATCCTACCGCACTACTGACATCTTCAGTCCTTCTACTTTGACAGTAGAGATGGTCGAACGCGAGGTGGAACAGACGAGAGATTTGCCCAACGGAGACATTTGGCCACATCGAGACTCCAGCCCTTATGCCATTCACAAAATGAAAACCTACAACAATTGAGAGAAGTCACCTGGATGAGTGCAACTACAGCTTCTGTTGAGTGTCCACATACAGACATTTATTTTACTTTTAAAACAATTTGACAGTTCCTCCTTTTCTATGTATTGTCATTCACGACCAATAGTGGTGGAAAGAGTATTCAGATAATTTATTTAATTAAAAGTAGCAATATCACACTGTAAAAATACATTTTTACAGTTTATTTGTTTAGCACATTTCATACACAAAGGCCAGTGCTTTACAAAAAGTATAAAAAGGCAAATAAACAAATAAAACCAGAAAATAGGACTATTAATAAAAGAAAGACTAAATAGAATGATACAAAGACAACAGTAGAAATACAATAGATTGAAAACATTGAAGAAGTGCAAAAGTATAAAAATGTAATATTTTTAAACGACCTTAGGAAAGGCAGTCGCAAATAGAAATGTTTACCTAAGTAAAGTATTATCAGTGAAATGCACTTAAAGTATCTGTTATAACACAAGACATAATATATTATATATATATGTTTTTGGATTAACATTTCTGCTGCATTAATGTGCATTTTAATGATTTAGTTGTTAAGGTTGTGGTAATTGGAACTACTTTATATACTATTATAGGGCTGGACGAAGGTTTCACATCTTTCGATATCGATAATTATTACGATATGTATCAAACCGTTATTTCTTTTGAGTTTAAAGGCAGATTTTTGCTCCTGAGTGAAAGTAGAAGAAACCTGATGGTTAATTGTGGTTTAAACTCTTCTTTATGGTCAGAAGATAACAAAAGCTTGAGGCCAAACAGTGCATCACTTCACAATCCTGAGGTAGAACATTCAAAACAATTATGATAAAAGCTTTAAAAGCTTTGTCAACAAATATGCATGAGTAAAATTAAGTGAAAGCATTTTTCAGTCCTTTTTCCTCAACAAAATAAACATCTTAAAATTAAGTACTAATTTGTGTATGATTTAAGTGAATAAAATCAAAAATTATTGAATATTTATTGAACATTTGTTATATTGTTATTGAAAAAAATTATATAACGATAATTATTGTTATTGTTTTATTGTCCAGGCCTAACTGTTGGTAATCTACAGCAATGCATCATAATATCATTATATAGCGTCGCTGTCCTGTGGAACCACAGATCTCTAAAAAGTCAAAGCCCTGTTTTCAGCTTTGTGACAATGCACTTTAATGCAGGTTATACAATGTATTTTTAATTGTTTAGTTTAAGAAGTAGGCGACTTTTTTCACCATATTTGGAGAGAGTTTTCACCGGACTGGAGGGGTATGAAATATTTAAATCTGAAAAGTAACGCTAGACAAATGTCAGACAAATGTAGTGTAGTAAAAAGTAAAATATACGTCTGAGATGTAGTGCAGTAGAAGGATAAACAAACTAGGTTTATTATAATCATTATTAACATTAACATATCCAAAGACATGCAGGCTAGGTTAATTGGTGTCTCTAAAATTGTCCTTAGGTGTGAATTTGAGTGTGAGTAGTTGTTTGTCTATGTGTGGCCCTGCGATGGACTGGCAACCTGTTCAGGGTGTACCCCGCCTTTCGCCCAATGTCAGCTGGGATTGGCTCCAGACCCCCTCGACCCCGTACGCAGGATAAGCGGTTGAGGATGGATGGATGGATGGATGAACATTAACATCAGATGACTTGTTCTCTAAATAAATGTCAAAAAAATAACTGAGGACAAAGATTTGACCTCAGTTCATTTAACAGATATGCTGCCTACATTTGTTTTGATGTAAAAATGTTGAAACAACTTTAGACTGTGCATTACAAAGAAAGTCATTCTACATAATAAAGATTGTTTTAGTGCAGTGAGCGGCCTTTTTACAGTGATGCCTCTGTTTAATGTTTCACAAATAGTACTTAAATAGTTAAAGAACCAATGCACAGTGAGCAACACGGGATGTAAGTCAGGGTAAATCTGTCAGATGCCGACAGCAGCTCCTAATTTGATCTGACTTTTCTCAAATGTAATTTTTTTCTTAGTCAAATGCTGGATGCTTTTATGTCTTCTGGCCTCTAGAAATTCTACAAATGAAACAAGAAAGGAAGAATCACTGTTTAGTGTGACTGCTCATAACCCATCTCCATCACAGGGTATATACCTGTGAGGAGGGGTCACAAGTGGACATTGCTTCATTTTAAGGGGTCACATGCCAAAAAAGTTAGATATTGTGAAGAAGTAGATTTATCAATTTATAGTGTATAAGTGTAAAGTGTTTAATTTAAGTGTAAAATCAAAGTAACTATAGCAGATAAGTAAATGTAGAAAGTAAAAAGTACATTATTTCCCCCTGAATTGTAGTGGAGTAGAAGTGTACTTAAGTAAAGTGCCGCAAAATTGTGCTTGGCTACTAAAGTTTAATGTAAATAATTATGAATTTAACATATAATATTTCAGATTTTCTTTGATGGTTTGTACTTTAGGGCTGAGAAAGTCTCTGGTCCACACTCTGCGGCAGAAAGTGACGTTATGTGCCTCATACTTGTTGCCAACTGAAGAAGAAGAATGGATAAGAAACAGCTATTTCAATAAGTAAAGCAGAAGCTAAGGCAGAAATCAGGTCGACCATTAATAAAATGTGTCAGGTATGTTGGGATGCAGAGGAGAAAGGAAGGCATTTATGCTGCATTCAACAAAAGGTTGGGACAAAGAGGCTCAGTGGAAGAAAATGAAGGGAAGACACCAATGTAACTAGGCTAAGTATTGGACACTGTGGGTTTAATAAGTACTTACATATTATGGGTAAGCACATATCAGAGAGGTATGAATGTTGTGACAGTACTGAGTCTGTTAAATGTGGTTTTTGAGTGTCAGAAATATGAGAGGGAAAAGAAAAAGACGAAAGAGGACATAAGTAGGTTAGGGTTTCAAGGGAATTCACTAGGGGACTTACTGACAAAGTCATTAAATTACGTTAGTGCACTTTTATTTAGATCCTTAAAGGTCAGAAAGGATACAATGTATTTTTGGTTTTGTTATTGTTTTTTTGTTGCTGTTTTTGCTTTGTTTTTTGTTTTTTTATCTCCGGCCCACACTCCAGTACAGTAGGTGGCGTTAATGCACCATGTAAGTTGGATGCCAGCCGCCGTAAAACAACAATGAAGAAGAAGAAGAAGAATGGACAAATAACTAAGCAGGGAGCGGGTCGGGAGAAGGAGGGAGTGCTGCAAACTCTCTCTCCACTGTAGCGTAACTAGCGACACAACCAACTAACTGCCACTTATGTAGTCAGAGCAGCCTTTTCCCTGAGCAGAAGAGAAGTAGACATTTAAATGTTTTTAACAGAATGCCGCACACTTACCGGGATATACTAACTTATCGGCTCTGTTGAACATTCGTGATCCCATCCAGCAGCTGCAACAACATCTGGCTAACAAGCGGTTAGCATTAGCAACAAACAGCTGTCACCCGGAAGGCCGCCGCCGCCGCACCGGGTTGGGATTTAACTTTCTCTCTCCGTGTATGGACTGAACCAACACCAAGCCTCTAGCCAATGATAAATCGCTATTTATTCTATATCGGTAAGAATGGAGTCCTCTTTGGGGATATGCGACGAGGAGTGCTTGGCAATATCCTTTTTGAATTAAGTTACAACATTTTTCGTGTTTTTACTCCCCAGTTTGCTTTAGCTCGTTGGCTAACGTTAGCTTTATCATTTTCCCAACCGGGTAGCTAAGTAGCTAACGTCAGTTAACACTAGCAAGTCGGCTAACTTGTAACTGTAGTTTGGTAGCTAGCTGGTGAACTCTGTTATTTACCTGGTTCTTTTATCGCTACAGTTTCCTTCTAATTCAGTTCACTGGCGTTGCTATCCATGCTAATATGACCAGTCTCATCTAACTAATTAGACCCACCTGTTTTTTTTAACATTAAAAAACGTTTGGCATGATTTAATTTACATTTGCTCCACCTAACCAACTCAACCACTGAACTGCTTTCTCTATCTTTTCCAGTGCCTTATGACATTTGTCATATTAATTTGCCTTCTCATTTTCTATAAGCATGGCTTCTAACAGAGATCACTATTTCTGAGGACTAACCATGCGCACATTAACATGAAAGTAAGGTCCTGTCTGAGGTTAATTATTAACAGCTCATGCTTGTGATGTCCAAGCTCCTTTCTCATCCTCAGTCAAAATAATTCCTTGATTGTGATGCTCACACTGTGAAAGGTCAGGAGCTGAGGGCTGGCCAGAAGGAGCCCAGACTACTGTCACTAATTGAGCGCAGTGGAGAGTTTATGTAAGTATTAGAGAAACTGATGACTGAAAATGTATGTGTGTTAGTAGGTTAAGCTAGTGAGATGTCACAGGTTAAGTTTGAGTTTTGAAGCAGCTCTAAGATTTCAATTTATAGATATTATGATAAAATGAAAGTTTTTGACAGCTTTTCTGTGTTCGAAGGTAGATACTTGCTGTGGTATAGCTGAAGTGGCTGGCCATGTACTGTGGGCAGGTCTGTAGCTGTGCGTCTTTTTAGGACAAATATGGCTCTTTAACATGCAAAATGAACCCATTGGATGAAAAGATGTGTGCCATGAAGGTGTCACACTAATAGACAAGATGATTTTAGATTGTACAGTTTGGTTATTGTGGCTTGGGGTTGGTTATCTTGTCTTATCTAATGATGAAGAGATTTGATTGCAAATTACATTACATAAACACTAAACTAAGCATCAAACAGGTCAGCAGTACCCAACACCACACCCAGCATACCTGAGGATGTTATAGTCACAAAAAATGTTTCAGGTGTCATGCAGCCAGGCTGAAATAAGAAAGTCTGCAATGGGACACATTTAAACCGGCACTTGGCAGCTTCAGCGTTTGTGTTGTGAAAAGGGATGTTGTAGTTGACGTCAGTGTTAAACCATCAGTGTTGTTTGTGTTTGTAGACTGTTGTGGCGTGCACAAGCATGAGGGACAAACCATTTAGCAGCCAGTTCACCACCTATTATCCAGCATTCCTCCACTTAGTCCTGGACTGTAATGAGACTCACATGGGCACACAAGCTCTGTCCTCAGCTGACTGTATTAAAACCACACATGCTAAACTCCACTCCTGACAGG